CTCTGTTCATGACCCTTGACTGCAAAACTTTTCTAAGAGTACAGTAATGGAATGGTCTTAAATCTCTGAATTTTTTTTCTTTAGTAGGTTGGTGTCTAAACTGTAATGTGGGTGGGTTTGGGTTTGATTTCTCTCGTTTGTGCGCCCAGAAAGAAGTTGTCAATTTTGCAGCTAGTTTTGTTGTTGTTTTTTTAAACTAAAGTCTATGTTAATAGCTTCCACAACCCTAACAAGTTCACTAATAACTCTAGAAATGGCTGGAAGGTCCAGAGCAGGGAGTGGGGATGGGAGGGGAATAAAAACAATGAGGAGCAGGAAAGAGAGAGAGAGCTGCTGGAAAAGCCCTGTAGATAGAATAGCCAGGGGGGTGGGGTGGGGCGGTGAATGACAAAAGAGAGGCAGAGATGGGATAGAGACGTAACTGGTGGTAAAGAACAAGTGTTTGGTAAAATACATAGAATCTCAGGGTGTTAATGACATAAACTGTTTACCTGACTCTCATGACGGAATTTCTGTATTTGCAATGTTTCATGTTAATTGTTCAGCATATCTGGTTAGAATGCAGAGTTCTTAGAGCAAAGCTTATCTGCTCTCATTCCAAAACTCCCATACTGCTGTTGGTAAGTCTGACAGAGGGATAGTGCAGAAGCTTCTTTTAGTCTAGCAGTAATGAGTATCTCTGGCTTGCCTCAGGATCCTGGATGTTTCAGCAGGGGACACACCAGCCCAGAACAGAGTTAGGGGAGATGCATACCTTCAATACATAACTTCATAAGAAAAGTCATTTAGACACTCAATGTATTCGCATACATGGTTTCTTTGCTGGCTGCCCTCAGACCTCTCTGTTGGATAGTACACCCTCACTAACTGGTCCTAGGATACCAGGTTACAATACACGGAGACAAGCAACATGCCCAAGACTGCATAGAACAGGGATCTGCAACCTTTGGCATGTGGCCTGCCAGGGTAAGCCCCCTGACGAGCTGGGCTGGTTTGTTTACCTGCCGCATCCGCAGGTTCAGCCGATCGCAGCTCCCACTGGCCACGGTTTGCCATACCAGGCCAATGGGGGCTGCGGGAAGCGGCAGCCAGCACATCCCTTGGCCTGCGCCGCTTCCTGCAGCCCCCATTGGCCTTGAGCAGCGAACTGTGAACAGTGGGAGCCGCGATCAGCCGAACCTGTGGACGCGGCCAGTAACAAACCAACCCAGCCCACCACGAGGCTTACCCTGGTGGGCCAAAGGTTGCCGATCCCTGGCATAGGCCATCACTGTGAATCACATCCCTTCATGTTTGTGTACCAAAAAATACCACCATCTGAACAGTGCAGGAAAAGAGGACAGAGCTCAAAGGCACTGAAACTGCTTGTACTATAGGAGTTGCAGTGGAAACTCATGAAGATTACCCAGATGTCTCAGGAAAGTTCATCCTTACAGACACTGAACAAAACCACAAAGGCGTGACTACTGGCACTCAGGGCACAGGGCCATCCAAAGTGTAAATCTGTTGACTGCTATCTCTGATGATCATCTCAGGGTTTCCAAAACAATCCTTGTAGTCTGTGGGATTACACCAGGAATGAATTTGGACCACCACCACCGTAAATGGGTAACCTGCATAACCAGCATAAAACCTCAAGTGGCTTATTTCCTTTGGTCAGCATAGTCAAAGGTGCTGAAGAGAGAAGCTGATTCCTAGCCCAAAAGTAGAGCTACACAGTGGGTTACTTATAACCTTGAGTTTATATATGTCTGTTAGCAGAGTGCAAATAAGCAGAAAGAGGAAACTTGAGAGTTTCCCTATAAGAGCTGTCAGCTGTGGTGAAAACTGCCATTTTGCCTCCAAGAACCCTCCCAGGTGGATAAAAAGTGGCGTTTCCCTCTAAGCAGTCCAAAGGCATCAACAACCGTCCATATAGTGACATGTGCAAAGGTGTGCATTCCTGCTCTGCACTCGTCTGCTACCGAGTATTGTCAAAGACTCTAGTCCATGCTCCATAGAACTAATGCCAAGAATCTTATTGGCTCCTTAGTCAGGATTAGTATCCCTATGTATCTGAGCCAGGGAAGTACAGCAGTGGCTCCTCAATCAAAAACCCCACCAATTAAATTTTGTTGTGGCCTTTATTGATGTCAGAGTGTGATGGCTGTTGGAAAGTTCAGGTTTCACTTATGGGATTGGAGGGGATCACTTTGTTTTTGTTTTGTTTTGTTTTTTCTTCCTCCTTCACCCACTACGTAATTGATTCCTTTTCTGTTTTAACTTTGATTAGCTAAAGGTAACCATGGCACGTCACACTTATTGTGCTGTGGACTTCTATATGACAGCTTGTTTTCAGCTGTTCTGTGGAAAAATTTTTTAGACTTTGATAAACTTTGCCTAAGGAATTAATCACTTTATTCTGCAGACAGATGATGCAAGTTTAGTGCATTTAAAAGTCTTCAATCCTCATTTTTGTACTGCTTTAATTTTACCAGGTCTCAGAAGGGCAGGAGATTTGTGTAATTGAAGCTATGAAAATGCAGAACAGTCTAATCGCTGCTAAAAGTGGCAAGGTATGCTTTGGCTCATCTTTTTAAACTGCATGTAACTTGTCATATTGGACAGAATGTACAAAAACGAGAGGAGGGCTGTGGTAGTTAAAGTACTAGAAGTGTAATTGTTTTTCGTTTTCTAGATCTCTCAAAATGAGGTGCCTTTAATTTTTAACGTTTACGTCTAAAACCAGGAAAGCTATTAAATAGTTATGAGACTTAGATGACGCAGCATGAAGTGGTTTTACAGGCTGCAAAAATTAATGTAAATGAGTTCTTCAAAATGATTTGTTCCTTAATATCTAAGTAATTCAGATTGGTTTGAAGGATTGGAGGAGCTGCAGCCAGTTCTCCAAATTCCATATTTTCAGAGAGCAATCAAAAGCAGAGGGTTTTTTGCAATTAAATTAATTAAATGTACATTCATTTCACATTGTCCTGATACTTGGAATAAGTTATGGAAAATACATCAGTAATGTAGATGAATAGTGTTTACCCCAGAAAAGAATATTGCTTTAAAAAAAGTAACAGGTTCCGGACTGAGTATTTTTTGATGAGGACGTTGTTAAACGTGGAGTGTCTAGAAGTGTTCTGAGCTCTTTACAGACATAAATTAGGACAGATCCCTGCTGCAAAGAATAAACAATCTGAGACCTCAGACCTGCAAACGCATACATGTTTAACTTCATGTACTGTGATACTAGCAGATCCTGAGGCAGGATCAGGACCTAGGTAAACAAAATATGGCAAGAGGACGAGAGACCAACGTGAACGCCTCTCTCATTCGTTCCTATTACTGTAATGTTGTCCCTTGACTTTTATCCTCTTGGTATTAATTATTTTGCTGTAAGACCAGATTTTTCTTTTACATTTATTACTTTTCATTTTTAATATTTGTTACCATTAGTTTTGATCTTTACTTATTTGTTTCTCCTTAATTCTCATTTATTTACTCAGTTTTTATTCTAGTCTCATATTGAACTGGTTACTTCAATCCTATTTTCCTTCCTTCTTAATTTAACCTTTACAAATTCCCACCCTTGCCTTCGCTTGAACTGATTCATTTTGTAACCCCATAGCCAGCCTCTGAGCTTCCTCCCAAGTCCCTGCACACCTCCTGATAGTAGTAATGTTCTATTCCTCTGTCCAGATGCCCTTCCCCCCTGCATATGGGTAAAATTTGGCCTGTACCATGCCCAATATGTCATTTATGTCCCTCTTAAACCTTTAAAGCAGGATTTAAGTAGGGTCTAAGCTCTAAGTGGTCTCTTTGTATGCCCCCCCACAGGAGTCTCTATTTTAAAATAAAATAATTTAAGAAAATAAAAACAATTTGGAGCTGTAGATAGTAAAAGTGTCAGTTCATTAAAGCTATTTGCTAAATAAAAATAATTATATTCTAATGCAAAGAACAATGACATGGTCAAGCATTCTAAAATTCACAATTATGGTTCCCATAGCAAAGGCAACTTGATGCCTTTGTGGAGATAGTGTGCTTTGGTACTCTTGGGGCTGGATTAGGTTTGTCCATTTGAATCTCCTTCATGCTGGTCAGTTTCATTGTGTTCAGCTGGAGGATGCTCAGTATCCCTTTTTTCCTCTGAATTGTCTTCCACGTCCAAAATCTGTTTTTATATTCTGAACTGCTAAAACAAGTGGCTTGGGTTTTATTTAATTTGCATCTATTATGGACGTTTGTAAAATGAATAAAAATGAGCAACTTGGTTGCCTGATGAAGGTTCTAGACTCTATATATGTCAGAACTAGGTGTTGGCCAAGCTGACTCCAGTAAATTTCAGAAAGCTTAGGGGAGCCCATTAGCTGAAACTGCTGTGAGAACAGACAAGTCGTTTTTTAATTAAGTAAAGTGTTTTCAGACTAAATTTTTGGGAATCTTTTTGCATTCAGAATTTAAAAGTAGCTGTTTAAAAGATTCAGACGTATGGGTCTGGCAGGTTTGAAGAAAACTGATTTAGAATTAAAGATCTGTTTTAAAAAAAAATCCCACAATGTTCTTGCCCGTGTAGGGTCGTCAGCGACTACAGGATGTTGAGCTGTACATATTGAAATAAAACATGCTCTATACGCTGCAATCCCCCATATACTGGGTATGTGGGACTAGTAAAAAAAAGAAAGTCAGGAAACTGTGAACATGATTAAACTAAATATACAATTGCATTTATTTTACAACTATGGTTCTTTGACTTCTTTTTGACATTTGTTTAGGAAGGGGTAACAGTGATGTTCTGAGTTCTTGACATCTCTCTGGGGTAGAGTTAAGGTTGTGTGGCTTCCTTGCAGACAGTGTCACTGTAAGATTGTGAAGCGCTTGGAGATCTACTGATAAAGCGCTAGGTATTCCAATATTCTTAATAACTCAGCAATCCGTCATTCTGTGTATGTACTGTACATTCAGGTATATGGATTAATGTAGGTTGCGCAAGCTAATGAACTTACAAAGCCATGTTTTCAGGGAAGATTTCATGTTTATTTTCACCTTCACACTGTAGGTGAAAGCTGTGCACTGTAAAGCTGGTGAGACTGTTGGGGAAGGAGATCTGCTCGTAGAACTGGAATGAAAAATGCTTCCTTCATATCATCAATTAACTCTCTATTTCTATCCATGTACAATGAAAGTATTAATACAGAGAAAAGTGTAAAACAGACATTCCTATGGAGCAGATTTTACACAGTTGTATTTATGAGTGTGAAGTTCTCTATTCAGTAGACAGATATTAAGACCACCAATGGATGTCAGACTTTTATTTCTATAAATAATTGTACATATATGATTTGTAATTCTCATGATCTTCAGTATCAAATATAAATCAATAAAAATTGAACATTTCTGCTTAAATAAAGCCTCTTTGAATGTATTTTAAAGCAGATAATATTCAATGTCCGCCACTGTAATATCTGCAATTTCAAATGTGCATGAGCCCCACTGTACAGAATAGTTGATAAAAGTAATTAAACAATTTCCCCTAAACAAAAACTACTAAGTGCTTGATTTCTGTTCAGATGCATTGTACCTGAAAGAATTTTGAAAATGTGGAACAAGTTTACTACCACCAAGACAAAAAAAAATATGCAGCAGATGCTCTAAACATAGTCCATCGTTGGTTGATGCTATAAAAGAAGAGAAGCAATTCTATATTCCTAACTGGTAAAAATGAATGTATGCAGGTCTCCAGTAATCCACTGTGGTCCTTACAAAGCTGAAAGAACTGTGATTCCTGGTGAAAACCTTCACATTACTTCTAGAGCCTCAGGCCAGCTGAGGTGGTAATTTTATGCAGAATAATTTGTTTTAAAAGAAAAGAGCATTAGTTCTAGATTTGTGATTACTGTCTACTGCAGGCAAAAGGAAGCGTGAGAAAGTGTTTACTGAAAGTTGTTACCAAACTGGTAACTTAAACTGGAGCTTTACAAGAACACCTTTAAGCAGAGCATAAGAATTGCATTACTTTACTCAAATAACCAGAAGCAAAGAAAGTTGTACAAAATCTGAAACTTCTTTGAATCATCAGAGTATAAACAAAGATCAAACTTCATTCCAGACTAAAATTAATTTCTCCAGCATCCTAACATACAGCTGTAGATAGTGGTTACTAACCTTTTACTAGCAGCATCCCTGCTCTCTTGAATGGCAGAGATTACCCTGAAAGTAAACAGGTCCTGCATTTAAAGACTACCTGCCATGGAGCAGAATCCTCACTTTAGGTAGTTTTGCAGAGGTTTCTTTCCACCCCACCCCATCCACAGTTACAAGAATGCATTAAACCCTATGCCTACAGCTCCCACAAACCTGGTTGCTGCATTCTCAGTCTAAGTGTTTATCCCCTAAGCCAAATTCTGTCATCAGCCCTACTCTGGATTGTACTGTTACCCAAGAGTGAGCCCCTAGGAGGGGATTAGTAGTAGTTTGTTTTGGGTAGGAATGCCACTAATTTCTCTCCTAGTAGCTACAGTAGTTAACCATTACAATTACTAGAAAGATCTCATCCTCCTATCTAGCACGCCAGGGGCCCCTCCATAATGGAGATGAAGGGTAAAATTTTCAAAATTATTTAAGTGACTTAGATACCTAAATCCCATTGACTTTCATTTTCAGTTAGAAATTTTCCCCAAAGGCTCACTTTGCTTGAAGTGTTTGATCCAAGAGGTTTTTTTCATTTCAGGGTGAAAGTGAAGTTAGAGCCTTGCTACTGGGCGATTTCCAGTCTCACATGGTGAGATACTCCAGGTGGTAGAGAGTAGGACCTTGATTTCTGAGTTCCTTCTACCTCAAGCCCTTAGCTATTTGTCTAAGGCCACAGAAAGAGTAATTAGGACAGGCCTGAATCCTATCCTGACTAAGCCCTAACCTATGCTCTAGTTAGGTCAACATACGGCAGCTTATGTCAGTGTCTACACTACAGTCTTGCTCTGGCCAATGGGGTACCTACTACACTCACATAACTCCAACTGCACCTCCACCAGAGGCATAGGGCTTATGTCAGTGTAGTTAGGGTGATGCAGTGTCAATGCTGACACTGTTACTTACGTTGGCTGTTCCCTATCCTGTCAGCAGAGCCGTGAAATTGACAAGAAAGCCTGGCTTCTGCCCCCCAACTCTCAGTTCCCTGCCAAGAGCATGCCTCTGACTGGACTCTGGGTGTGGATCCCCCCACCAGAGGTGAGAAGCCACAGGTGGCTTCCCCACTGCTCCCACTGGGGAGCTGAGAGCCCTGGGTCACTGCCCCTCTTCAATTGATGGACGTGCTCCGGGTAAGAAAGAGAGTAGTGTGGACATAAGCCACCACAGTAATTATGAACGTAGATCAACTTAAGATTGTAGTATAGACATGCCCCCTCCCTGTCCTATATTCAGACCACTTTACTTTGTCAAGTATCACTATACTTAATTCAATATTCAACAGTGTATCCATTCCAATGTCCTAGTTTTAGAGCAGTGTGTGATAAAACTGTCTGCTTGAGATATTTAGCAAGAAACCATGTGAGATTCTTCCAAGTTTCAGTAAAAATGTGTTTAGCCCTTACAGTTGTGAAGAAAACTTAACTGGGACTCAGTGTGTCAGGCAGCCTGAAATAAAAGCTCTATCTATCTTAGTGGCATGTTTAAAAGTACCCTGTAAAGTTTTTCCATGTTACTAGGGCCTTGGGTGTTTTAAAAAACAAAATTAATTAAAAGGTTTTTGCTTACAAAAACTCAGTTCAGTTTTTATGTATTTGTCATTTTTGCATTAAAGATTTCCTAGAGACTTACGAGCTATTATATCAGTAAGTACTTTGCTAAAACAGTCGTATCTGCTATAATGTATTGGGCAGCTAAAATCAGCTTTTAAAAAGTCCCTGAGCACACATTTACTCAGTAGACCGTAATGGCACCAAAAGTGCTGGTATGGTCTAGTGGGACAAAATAAAAACATGATTTTAAATTTAACTCCTGTACATTCCCAAGATTTTATCCTAATACGTTTTATAAACCCAGTAGATCTTACAAACAATTATTACAATCAAGTTAGCTTTAATAGACAAAATTTAGAACAGTTTGTTACACCACCCCGTGAGAAGTTCATTCTATTTTCAGGCTTTTCTAATTCTCTTTACTACCTTTTCTATCACTTTTTTTTCCTTACAGCATTTTCCATAGCTGTAATTGTTTTCTTTTGAGCCATTTACTGACCGAGGATTGTCGTGAAGTGACCTGAGCTGGTTTTTCAATATACTGAAATCAGCCACATTTCATTAGCTGCTGTTGCAGTAGCACTAGAGTTTTACAAAACTGATATAAAACGTTACCAGGTAGCGTGAAGACCCCTTCAACTCAGCTGCCCTTTTACCTTGATTTTACAAAAGAAAGAAAAAACCCAAACACAATGTTTCTGATTGGTGAGTAAAATACTATTATTCATCTTGTCTGAGGGAATAAGTAAAATTTTGCCAGACTTGGCATCAGAGTCTATCTCTATGGTAATGATGTTAGAATCAATGATTTTGTGGTTGGAAAGGTTACAGAAGGTCTTGGGTGCTTCAGTAAACGTATTCTAGATTTACTTGAGAGAGGTTTGTGATCAACATGTGCTTAGTGCATTTTCTTAATACATTGTGTTACCTTCCATTTTTAATCTCTACTTTCACGTAGCACATAATGAAGACCATGATTCCCTAAGGAATCATAATTGTCATAGTACGGGAGATTTATCCACGCTGGCTGGTAGGTGGTTGTGCTGTACACAAAGCATTCCATAATGCTGTTAACAGCTGGCCTCTCTTCAGGTGCACTGCTTTTATCTTCCCACTCGACTACTTCAAGCCTCACTGGAGTACGTTGATACATGTCTGGGCAACCTTCGAATTCATCAAGGAATTGCAGCATCTGGTCATCAACGGAATAAATCTCTCCAGTAACATGGTGTCCCGTTCCTGGGATGTTCAGCAAAAAAGGAATGTTATATTTTCCTGCAATCACCAAAGGGTATTTCTCCACGGTGCGCCCCCTGCCTTGGAATTTTGCTATCCCATGGGTACCATTTAACATGTGCTGGTAATTGGGCTGGCCTTTTTTAAGGGTTCCATACACAAAAACACGAGCCATTCTACCTACAGAAGAAACAAACACAAAAATAAGTATTACTAATAATCTATTGAATAGAAAATTCAGTGTGCACTGAAGGTACATGCACACACAAAACGATCTGGAAATATAACTGAGCAAGGGGATTTTCTTACATGATTCTTCTTCCACATATAAATTCCAGCAACAGCATTTATCCATCTTGCTCAAGTCCAGCATAAAAACTGGTTGGGAAAAGTCTATTCATTTTTAATTCTCTTTCCTATAAACGGATTAATTTCCATTCCTTCACTACAGCAGCCACAACGCTGACCAAATGTATTTTTGAACCATAGTGAAATTGGAACATATCTTGGCTCTTTCTTTCACATGATTCCATGACCCTTCCTGCAGCCATGCTAATGCTACTGTGCTATGATGCTTTGTGACACACCAAAAGCAACCCAGGGAGCCATTTCAGTTACCAAAACAACTGCACTACGACTGACATGTCCTTTACCAAAAACAATTTGGAAATCCTTTAGTTATGTTCATGTATTGTACAGGAGCAGTCACATTTTTAACTGTCTGTTCCTCTGCTAATGATTGATTACAATTTGGGTAGTTGGGTGCAGCATGTTTTAAAACTGCATTTGATTTCTTGGGATTAACATGGCAATGAGTGAGTCATTGCCACTTGGGTGCTTTCCACCTCAGAGGAGAAGTGTGTGGCTACCCTCCCAACACATTTGAGAATCCTTATTTCACACTGAAGAAAGTGCATTGCTGCCCTAGAACAGAAGCAATACATTTCAGTATGAATGTTTGCATGGCGAGTTTTCACACAGGGTAATACAGTGGTGTGGCATTGGTCATTTAAAAGCAAAATTCAAGGCTTTGAACACAGCATCACATCATCATGCTATGTTGCATAAGAGCATTTAGTTGAGAAGGAGACAATAAGGCTTATTTTTCCATATGATGCTGCAAGCTTGGTCCCAACATTAAAGCAAGAACAGAGCCTTGAAGATGTTTATAGTAGCAGTAACCTGAGCTCTGGCCTTAGGAAACAGAGGATGAGTAGCACCAGTGATTGGAGAGGATTTTACAAGGGTAAATCTGAGCCAATAGGCTCAGAAACAGGAGGAAATGTCCCAAAGTGAGGCACATCAAGTGTACTTTGGGGTTGTTTCATGTAATTTGCTGAAGAATCTTCTGTAACCTCAGCTTTGGGAGTCAGCATTTGTGAATTCAAAGAGTGAAAATAATAGGAATACCAGATTTGTGGGGGAATGCAGGGAAATTAGATCACAATTGAGTCACCGATAGCAGTGGTCACAAGTGCAAAGGACACGTTAGACTCATACATTTAGAGAAAAAGGTGCTCTGGGGTGCTTGTAACAACTATTAAATGACAAACAATTTACAGACTGGGATTTAATTGGGGATTGGTCCTGCTTTGAGCAGGGGGTTGGACTAGATGACCTCCTGAGGTCCCTTCCAACTCTGATATTCTATGATTCTATGATAGTACCTAAGGACAATGTTCTCAGAAGCTTATCCACTACAAGTCCTTTCTTTTCTGAATGAACAGTACAAATGTTATGATTTACACCCAGCATTGAGGGGGGAGGGGAAGAGATGGTGAATTTCGTGCTCATGAAAGTGAAACAACAGCCTGACTTCAGCTGGTATAGAAGGCAAGCACAGAATGTGTTGTTCAATCCCTAGCCAAATCCTCAAATCCATTTCTGCCAGTGCACGTCAACCTTAATTTACATTACCCTGCCTAGACCGCTCCTGAGTGTCACTTGAACACAAGCTGTGAATACATTTTCTGAATCTTCGTTTTATTTCTGAGTATAACAGTCCATAGGGCTTAGTGTGGGAGAAAGGGGCTGTGTTACGGAAAAAACTAGCTTCATCATTCCTGGGCTACCTCCTCCTCCCCCATTTGGTGGGGGTGGGGGTGGGGGTGTGTGTAAAACAAAAGCAGTTTCAACCTGTCTGATGCTCTTCCAAATTTCACCATCGGTCACTAAGCTACCTTGAGACTGTCTCATTTTCACCCAACACAGCAGTCTGGCAGCCAACTGCCCATCAGAGGTGAGCCTAACACTCCTTTTTGAAAGAGGTTTATTAGACTAAACTCAAATAGTAATTCAATTTTGCTTTTAAAAGGTTTTCTTGACATGTTTTCTGCTAATTGTTCTTATTTTAGTGACTGCCAAATATTTATGGCAGATGGGGTAAAGCTGGATTATTCGAAAGGGCACGTTATTGGTCTACAGGATTGTCATTTAAAACAGCCAGCAGCCCATCTGACCATTTGCATAATGCTATTACTTCAGTGAGGAAAAAAATGACTACTTCCACAATATTATGTTATTTGCCCAAAACAAAATAAAAAACAAACTTTTTCCCCCCACTTGGGAGGGGAAAAGATCACACTGATTTGGTCTGTGTGTTGCAAGTTAGTTCAGTATAATTTACCATTCATGACATCAAATGAGTTTTGGGACACAGCTCATTCCCTTACAATAAAAAGAACATTAATATTCGGCTGCTCTGGCTCCCTTTTATAAGAAAAAGCATTATCTTTCAGCTTGTGTTTTGAATAACAAACACAGATCCTTCAGGAAGAAACTTGTCCCAGTGGGGATTGAGAAAGGATCAGAGTTAAGCACTGAAACATGCAATTAATTCCCATTAGGGGATTAGGGCACTTGTGTTCACTTTGAATGAGAAAAATGAATTGTGAATTAAATTGTTCACAACCAAGAGGTTACTTGTCAGAGTTAATAAGTTAAAATATGAAAGGGGAAACTAAAATGCACACAAAAAGTCCAATAGTAAATGGTGCATCTGTAAGAAAAATATTTGTTTAATGGAAATGAAGCATAAGATTTTCCCTACTGTACATCTGAAGCAACTCTTTGAAAAAGTTTCTAGTTGGAGGACTGTTAAATGAGAAATGTATGCATCACATTTTCTTCTATCAAAGTGTACTTGAATGTTTAATATCATTTCATTTGCATCTATTTTTAAAATTGCTAATGCAGTCCCAGCACTCCTCAACATTTACCACTTTGGTTTTGGTCAAAAGTTCCAGTTTGTGACACGATGTTTAAAAAAGGGAATTTACGATGTAAAGATCAGCTAGGAAATGGAAGTTTCCATCACTGTCCCTCATCTGATGTAACAAGGCCTGAGCTGCTTTGCCTCAAAAATTGTGACTCCTTAAAACACACAATAAAAAGTGGTTACGCTGCTTTGCAGTAAATTCACTTTCAAACTAATCATTAATCCTGGCCAAACTTTTGTAAAAAAATTAAACGTGGTCCAACAAGAGCGGTGAACTTGTGTACTTGATGAAGATAGCTGCTGAATGTAGTTTCCTGTAAGTACAAGTTATACAGTTCTCTGCACAATAAACAATAAATCTAGTCTCCCACCCTAGTTGTTGCTCACTGCATCACAGCACCAGTTGCAAATTATTAGCATAATTTCTGATAGTTATATTTTTGTCTGATTTAAGTACATTTTTAGCCACCTTGTGGCAAGAGACTAAAGAGCAGGATCTAATTTTAGGACTTTCAAGGAACTGCTAAACCACACTCTAAAAATAGTTCTAAGCTGTACTCGAGACTGAATATTCAACAGTGAAAAACAAAAAAAGTACCTCTTCAGGTAACCCAGTTTGACCCATCCTACCTTTACTGCCCTAGGCCACAGAAAGTCAGACCCTAGAACGTACACTAGCTTCCTGGGCAAAACAAACCCATTCAAAAGTACTTTCATGAAATATTCATACAACAGTCATTACATTTTAATGACATGGGAAAATGTGAGTGAAATCTGAATGTCATCTCTTCAAATTATTTCTTTTAACCATGAGTGACAGCCTGTCACACTGTTGATGCAACCTCTCACTAGTCATTTTGTCAGGACTAGACTTAAATACTAGAAGTAACTGGATTTTAGGATCATGACATTAGAAACTGTAATTGGGTTCGAGTAAAAGCCAGCTATAAAAATGCTAGAAAACCAACAGGGTTGGTGCTGAACATGAGCAGTAACAAGGTTTAAATACTGTATTCACTTATAAGCCTGTCTAATGACTGAGTCTCTGCTTAGTGCTTCCCCCACCTTACTGCCTAACTACTCAAACACTATAGGAAAGTGATGGCCAGACCGATTGCTAAATGTTATCTTAGTCAAACTGTAATTGCAGAGTAAATTGAACTGTCATAATTAGACTCTTTATTCCAAGGTTGTCTCTAAGACAAAACCACTGCCTAATATGTCCAACTGTAAATCCCATAATAAAACATCCTTTCCATGATTTTTCAGACAATTACTGGATCCTTCTAGGGGTTTTAAAAGGAGACTGCACTAGTGCAGCAGCACCACCAGGGAAGTTAGGGATCATGGTAACAGCCATTTGGGTTTTATTTTGTTGAAATATTTTCTTGCAACTAAGAAACGTATCCATTTCTCTCCCTTTATACAGTAACATTATTTTCCCTTGAGAAGAATTCTTAGTGTTGGCTCAGTGACCAGATATAGTTACACATTAATTCTTCAGAAGTTTCTTAAAACTGTAGGAAACAGGTGAAAAAACAAAATGCCTTGAACTTTAAACTTGAGCTCAGTCTGTTTGAATGAAATGAATTTTAAGGTCACTCTTCACTCAATGCTAACTTTCAAGAAGGACCAACATGCCAGAAAGGACTCTTGGGACTGCATCCTGTTGGTTCTTTGATGCTTTCATTTTGTTACTTGCTATTTTCTTTATGGCACAGACAAGGGCTTCCTGCTTGGGCCGACCCCTTTCCAACCTTGCTGAATCCCTCAGAAAAGTTTATGGCAAAACACCTTTCTTACATTAACCACAGAGGCACCAGTGAAATGGTGGTTCCTTTGAAATTAAGAGGTTATGGTCTCCTCTCAGCAGTTGTTCTCTCAAACTATGAAGTGCTGGTTTGTGAAAACAAACAACAGCATTATAGTAACCAATGCCATGTTGGACACTACTGGGGAGTAC